ATTACCTAACTGCAGCTGGGCCAGACAGACCCAGAACTTCCAAGAGAAGGCCCAAGACTCCACAGCGGCTTGCATTGCTTCACTGCTGAGCCTCATCAGGGCACCTCCAAACTCCAAAAAAGAAAGGGGAATCTGCAGTTCTCTCCATAGCTCCTGCTGGGTAGCCTCAGGCAGAGGCTAAATTAGCACCTCCTTAGATCCAAGAGCCACTGTACCCAGTGGTCAGAGGGGGACCATCCAGATCACAACTCCTCAGATCCATAAGGGACACACTCAGGGAGCAGACTCAGTGAGCACCAAAGCCCCACTGAAGCAAGTCTTGCCCCAGAAGGGTGTCTTCAGCACAGAAGTTCTCCCACTGCAGACACAGCTGATTCTCACTGCCAATTGGCCTGGAGGTCAATTCCTCCCAGTGATCCTACAACAACCAAGGCATAACTACAACAAGACTGTGCACAAAGCCCACAAGGGGGTGCACCAAGAGTGTCCACCTCAGGTAACTGGGGAGGCTGAGACACTGGGCCCTACAGGACACCTAGCACACAAAGCCACTCTATCAACACAGGGAAGGAGCCAAAATGTGGAGACAAAGAAACAGGTCACAAATGGCAGGAATGGAGGAAAGCAAACGACTGGATATAAAGTTCAAGGCCACGTTTATAAGGTTTTTCAAGAATTTTATGGAAACCGCTGATAAATTTAGTGAGTCCCTCAATAAGTATGGTGAGACCCTGGAGGACATGAAAAAGGACCAACTAGAAATTAAGCATACACTGACTGAAATAAAGAATAATTTACAGAGATCCAACAGCAGACAAGAGGATCCCAAGAATCAAGTCAAAGATTTGAAATACAAAGACACAAAAAATACCCAACCGAAAAAGAAAAAAGAAAAGAGATTCCAAAAATATGAAGATAGTGTAAGGAGCCTCTGGGACAACTTCAAGCGTACCAACATCAGAATTATAGGGGTACCAGAAAAAGAGAGAGGGCAAGATATTGAAAACATATTTGAAGAAATAATGACAGAAAACTTCCCCTACCTGGTGAAAGAAATAGACTTACAAGTCCAGGAAGCGCAGAGAACCCCAAACAAAAGGAATCCAAAGAGGACCACACCAAGACACATCAGAATTAAAATGCCAAGAGCAAAAGACAAAGAGAGAATCTTAAAAGTAGCAAGAGAAAGACAGTCAGTTACCTACAAGGGAGCACCCATACAACTGTCAGCTGATTTCTCAACAGAAACCATGCAGGCCAGAAGAGAGTGGCAAGAAATATTCAAAGTGATGAATAGCAAGAACCTGCAACCAAGATTACTTTATCCAGCAAAGCTATCATTCAGAATAGAAGGTCAGATAAAGAGCTTCACGGATAAGAAAAAGCTAAAGGAGTTCATCACCACCAAACCAGCATTATATGAAATGCTGAAAGGTATTCTTTAAGAAGAGGAAGAAGAAAAAGGAACTCTTACCATTTGCCACAGCATGGATGGAACTGGAGAGCGGATAAATACCACATGATCTCACTCATTTGTGGAATATAATTAACAACATAAACTGATGAACAAGGACTGATCCAGAGACGGAGAGGCATTGATTGGACTGTCGGGCCTTGGAGGGAAGGTAGGGGAGGGTGGGGGTAAGGGGGAAAGATCAACCAAAGGACTTACATGCAAGCATATAGGCCTAACCAATGGACACGGACAACGGGGGGGTGAGGGCATGAGCGGGGGGGGGGGGGGGTGGGGGGTAGAGGGTAACGTGGGGACAAGGACACATATGTAATATCTTAATCAATAAAAAATATATTAAAAAAAAAAAAAAAAAGCCTGACCTTGTAGTCCTCCCTAATTCCTTCCTAAGTAGCTAATGGGCTGTGGAAGGTGCAGATAGTGTTGCCAAAACAAGAACATTTGTATACATGTTAATCTACCCTTCTTTTAATCAGACTATAAAATAAAGCATCAGCTTGCAGGCTGGGTCTTTTGTGTCCTCACTCAGGCACGGGAGATTCACTGAGCCCCAGCTGTATTTATTTGTCTTTTCTTCAACCCTTCACTGCCCCTCCTCAGGTTCACCCTTGGCCGTGCTGGCGTGGCACAGGAGAGGATGTGGACCAATGGAAATTTTACACATGGCAGGTGGGTACAACCATTTAGGAAAACAATTTGACACTATTTTATGAAGTTGAACCTTCAAAGACCCAATTTTACTCCTAGGTATATACTCTAGAGCAGGGGTGGGGAATGTCTGGCCCGCAGGCTATATGAGGTGCACAAAATCATTTGGTCTAGCCCTGCCAAGGCATTAGGGATAAGTTAATAAAATGTTTGGCCCATGAATGATGTTATAAATATCCAAATGGCCCTTGGAAGAAACAAGGTTCCCTACCATTGCTCTAGAACATAACATTCTCAACAGGGGTGATACTACCCTCAAGGGGATAAAATAGTTTTGAGGAGAGTAGGGTACAGGCAAAAAAATCATACTCTTTTTTATGCATAAAGCACTGATATGCAGTCAGTACATCTGTGGTATTAGAATTTTATTAGAAGAGGACTAACTTGAGGGGAAGGATGATTTCTATGAAAGGCTCCTAAGTGAGGCAATAATGAAAAAACATTTGAGAAACCATGACCTAGAGATACACCTGCACACATGCACAAGAAGAAAAGTATAAAAGTATTCATAGCAGCACTATTCATAGCAAAAATCAGGAAACAATTCAAGGAGCCATTAGTAGTGATATATATGCACCAACGGATGACGAATTAAAAAGTAACAATCCTTCAGCTATCAATAAAAAAGAGTAAATCACAGCTACAAACCACAAGAGGAATTTCAGTAAAATAATGAGTGAAAAATTCAAGTCCCAGAAAACAACTGTAATAGTAAATCAACACCTCTAGAAATCTAGTTCCTCAGTACTCCCAAGTGAGGTCCTGGAACAAAGACTCCATAGACTCTTAGATGAATGTTTGTCACTCAGTGGGTCCTGAATTTAATTTAATAGGTCATAACTAACATTTTAAAAATATGAAATAGAAGAGAATAATCAAAATGACTGCTCACAGTAAGGGTAAAGCTTGTTTTGTTTTATAAATATGTATACACAGATACACACATCCCTACCCACAGATTCTAAAATCTAAATAATTCTGAAAACCTTAAATTTCTTTCATAAGTTTGGTGCAAAAATTCACAGGGCAGCCTGGCCAGTGTGGCTCAATGGTTGAGCATTGACATATGAGCCAGGAGGTCACAGTTCAATTCCCGATCAGGCACATGCCCATGTTGCGGTCCCCAGTAAGGGATGTGCAGGAGGCAGCCGACCAATGATTCTTATCCTTGATGTTTCTATCTCTCTCTCCCTCTCCCTTTCTCTCTGAAATCAATAATATATATATATATATATATATATATATATATATATATATATATATATTTTTTTTTTTTTTTTAATTCACAGGGCAGCCCTAACCAGTTTGGCTCAGTGGATAGAGCATCGGCCTGCAGACTGAAAGGTCCCAGGTTCGATTCCAGTCAAGGACATGTTCCTTTGTTGCAGGCATATTCCCAGTTGGAGGTGTGCTGGAGGCAGCTGATTGATGTTTCTCTCTCATTGATGTTTCTAACTCTCTATCCCTCCCCTCTCTGTAAAAATCAATAAAATATATATTTTTAAAAGTTAGCGAAAACTAATCTGAAATGCCCTAGGCTATTCATAGCCTTTATTCTTTTTCTTTTTTATTAAAATATATTTTTATTGATTTCAGAGAGGAAGGGAGAGGGAGAGAGAGATAGAAACATCAACGATGAGAGAGAACCATTGATCGGCTGCCTCCTGCACAACTGGGGATCAAGACCACAACCAGGGCATAAGCCCTTGACTGGAATTGAACCTGGGACCCTTCAGTCCGAAGTCCAACGGTCTATCCACTAAGGCAAACCAACTAGGGCAGCCTTTATTCTTTTACACTCCTTATAATACATTCCATTGCAGAAATATTAATGTTTGGTTATAGCATGGTATACATGTTATCTTCTTTTTTTAAAATGTATTTTTATTGATTTCAGAGATGAAGGGAGAGGGATAGAGAGATAGAAACATCAATAATGAGAGAGTCATTGATTGGCTGCCTCCTGCATACTCCCTACTGAGGATCAAGCCCACAACCGGGGCATGTGCCCTTGACCGGAATTGAACCTGGGACCCTTCAGTCCACAGGCCGATGCTCTATCCACTGAGACAAACCAGCTAGGGCCATATTATCTTTTAAAGTTCAAGATATTACAAAAGCCTTCTGGACAGAAGAGTTTGTGATAAGTGATTAAGAACCTTATCTATGTATGTAACTCTACATATTTGTGCACTAAGTCATAATGTAAAACATATTTCTGGCCCTGGCAGGTGGCTCAGTTGCTTAGAACGTTGACCCATATACCTAAAGGTTGTGGGTTGATTCCTGTTCAAGGCATACACCTAGAATGTGGGTGTAATCTCTGGTCAGGGCAAGTACAAAGGGAGGCAATCGATAGATATTTCTCTCTCTCTCTCTCTCTCTCTCTCTCTCTCTCTCTCTCTCTCTCTCAAATTAATAAAAACATATCCTCGAGTGAGGATTAAAAAAAATTGTAATTAAAAAAACCCCCACACATATTTCTGACTAGGTTGAGTTAAAGTCTGAAAGTCACTGGCTAATGACAGTTTTCATGGACACTGGCCACTTCATTCATTCTTATTCTACAAAACTCCAGGAAAGAGACATGCCACACCTTTATGATTCAGAATGTTCTTGTGCATTTCTTATTTAAATTCTTCCCATTTTACTTTTAAGACCATTTCTTGTTCTGAGGAAGCAGTAATCAGCCATCTTTTATAGGTGGCCTTTAAATGGAACACAATGTCTAAAATTTACATCATTCCTAAATTCAAAGAATAGAAAAAAAAGTATCCTAACCTTTAAAGGAGTTAAAAGGGTCCTGTCACAGCCTTACCTTCAGCAGGTTTAGGACTTTCTTGCCAAGATCCAGCTCAAAGTTGGTATAATTAGAACCACACATGTCATAGATAAACACCAGTCCATTTCTCTGAGTTTCAAAGCTGTAAAGCAACCATTGAACAAAAACATTTAAGTAATCAGATGAATGAGGCAGATTGAAAGCCTGGGGCAAAAACAAAAGCATGGGACACATTTGGGACCAAAATAACCACCTCCCTGAACACTAGCCTTACAAAAAGATGATTTACCTTTGGTATCTGCTATGCTTATTGTGATAGTGTGATTTGTAATAAGAACTATATATTTGGTCTTTGACCCTGCTCCTGGCATTATTCTGAAAACTTGGAATTTCCTAAGTGAAGAGCTCAATAAAGGTGTCTGTTGTCATTGAGGTGACTGCTGGAATGTCACTAAGTTACTAAGGATGGGTGCTGGTTGCCAGGGAAACCAAACACTTTCAGCTCCATCCCCACCTGGGAAGGAAGTGTGAGGGAGGGGCTAGAGACTAAGTTCAATCACTAATGGATAATGATTTATTCTGTCACACCTAAGTAATGAGGCCTCCATAAAAATTCAGAAGGATGGGGTTCAAAGAGCTTCCAAGTTGATGAACATGTTGAGGTATTGGGAGAATGGCTCTCTCAGAGAGGGTATGGAAACTCCGTGCTCCTTCCTCATATCTTGCTCTATGCATCCCTTCCATCTGGCTGTTCCTGGTTTATATCCTTTTATCATAAATCGGTAATCTAGTAAGTAAAATATTGCTCTGAGTTCTGTGAGCCATTCTAGCAAATTCATCAAATTCAAGGAATGGGTGGTTGAAACCTCTGATCTACACAGCCTATTGGTCAGGAGCAGAGGTGACAACCTGGACTTGCCATTGGTATCTGAAGGGGGTAGAAGGAGACAGTGTTTAGGACTGAAAATCCTTAACCTGTGGGACCTGAGGCTATCTCCAGGTAGACAGTGTCAGAACTGAGGTGAATTGTGGGCCCCTGAGCTGGTGTGAAAGAACTGCTTGATAGTGTTGGGAAAAGCCTCACATGTTAGAATTGGGATTGGAATCATACTTACTGATGCATATTTGTCCAGATTTATCAAGTACAAATCTCCTAAGTTGAGAATGTTCCAGAGTATCTAGGTTATTGAAATTTGAACTGTTTTCTTGTATGTATCTGAATCTGCCTATCCAAATTCTATAACATTCCATGTTCAGCTCAAAAGTTTCCTCTTCCATGAAGATCTGTCTCCCTGATAACTATAATCAAATGTACTGCCTGCCATACTTCTCCTTCTTGAAGCCCCACAAATCTTCCTGTGGATCTTTATTACAGCTCTTAAAATATACCAACTTTGTATAGTTATCTGATTCTCTCCTACAGTGGAAATGGGTTTTGTTCACTCATTATCCCCAACAGTCCCTAGCACAGTCCTTGCAACACAGGCCCATAATGATTGGTTGCTGAATTGTAATCCAATGGACTGGAAGCTATCACGAACAAACTTTAAGCTTAATGACTGTGAATTTGTATCTTTTGTCTTGTAGGAAGAGAACCCACAAATAGTCTTTGGAAAACATCCTCAAAAGTAAATTGGCCCAAGCCAGTTTGGCTCAGTGGATAGAGCATCAGTCTGTGGACTGAAGGGTCCCGGGTTTGATTTCCTGCCAAGGGTACATACCTTGGTTGCAGGTCAGGGCACGTGCAAGGAGGCAACCAATCAATGTGTCTCTCTCACATCGATGTTTCTCTCTCTCTGTCTCTCCCTGTCCCTTCCACTCTCTCTAAAAATCAATGGAATCTACCTCTGTAATTTACTCAAGAAATATTTTCTTACATAAAAAAAGGTAAAATGAAAGGTGGTGAGCCTATTCCAAGATTGAAGTTGGGAACACATGAAGATACGAAAAGTATTCCTCAGTGCAACCTTAATGGCTAAGTACTTTCCAAAGTTGCCTCTTCTACCAAGCCAGATCCTTACTTGTTTTAGTCTATACACAGAATAAATTATTACTTGACTGGACTATTCACAGGTAATTGCAAGAGTTTTCACATTTATTTAAAATTGAGAAAAATTTTTGGCTCAAAACACAATCCTGAAATCAGGGTCTCATGTTATTTTGTACACTAATTTTTTGTATGACCTCCTGGAAGCCTCTATACCTTTATCCTTTCAATAAAATCTAAGACAGAAGCACCAATTCACAAAGTAGTATTTTAAAAATATCTAATTGTGAGGTACACCCAAGATTCTCTAGCAGCACCTTCAAATGACCCCTAATATGCTAAATCTTGACTCTTTTTATGACCCCAGAGAGATTATGATTCATCAAGAGCAAAGATGCTATTAATCGAATGGCACCATTACTATCCAGGTCTAGAGACTTCTCATTTCTTCACAAACTCATCAAAGACCAAATTCAAAGAATTATAGAATTTCCCCTCACAGCTCCAGCTTGAGGTAGGAGACTGAAACAGAGAGAAGACAGTGCCAGAAGAAATAGAATTTAATTTTTTAAAAGTATTTTTTTATTGATTTCAGAGAGGAAAGGAGAGGGAGAGAGAGAGATAGAAACATCAATGATGAGAGAGAATCATTGATTGGCTGCTTCCTGCACGCCCCCCCCTCCCCCCAAAGGGGATCGAGCCTGCAACCTGGACATGTGCCCTTGACTAGAATCGAACCCAAGACCCTTCAGTTCACAGGCCAAATCTCTAGCCACCGAGCCAAACTGGCTAGGGCAATTTTTTTTTTTTTAAATCCTTACCCGAGGATATTTTTTCCATTGATTTTTAGAGAGAGTGGAAGAGAGAGGGAAAGACAGACAGAAATATCGATAGAGCATTGGCCAGGGCCCAGGCCAGGGAGGAGCATGCAACCAAGGTACATGCCCTTGACCGGAATCCAACCTGGTACCCTTTGGTCCCCAGGCTGGCATGGACCAAAGGGCACTGAGTCAAACTGGCTAGGGCTAGAATTTAATTTTTAAAAAGCAATCTTACAAAATGATGCAGGTTCTATATTTCCAAAAACTGTTCATCCTCTGAAGGCACATGAAATAAATAAAAATGGGATAGGATTTTCACTTTTCTGGGTATAGAATATGAAGTTTACAATAATAGCTAATTCCCTACTAAGAATAATTGCTTCCCTCCTGAATTTGATTCCTGAGCTGGATGCTACTGGGAACACCAAGAAGTTTAAAACACAGTCCTTCACATGCTTCAAAAAAATCGAGGGGAGGGGTGGATGAGGAACTATCAATGAAACAAGATTGGTTACAGATCACTTTGATGATGGGCATGTGGAAATTCATGGTAGCATTTCTTCTCCACCTAGGGAGATTTGGGAATTTTCCCTTATGTAATGTTAAAAAAAGAAGGTACTCTACCCTTATGAAGCTTACAATCTAGTAATAGATTTTTTAAAAAAAATAATATAAAATAAATAACATCATAAAGCCATGTACAATTAAACACAAAATGATCAGTATTAGTAACAACTGCTATTAAAGTCAGAATAAAAAGAATTTTATTTGTGACAGGTTGGAGTGGTGACAGGGCCAGTCATAGAGGTTAGACCTTAAAAAAGGGCATTAGATAATAAAGAGGAGAGCTTTCCTCCTCTTCCATCCTGGTTCAAGGTAACATGGGAAAACAAGAATTTCTTCTCACTATTGAGAAGATTTTCCTTGGAAAAAGACATTTATGCACCTTCTGGATAATGAGGGGGTCACTAGGGTTTTTAAGAAAGAAATGGACATCATGAAAAATGTTATGATTTTACCTTTATGGTGCTCCTGTGGGATCAAATACTCACACTGGAAAGAGCAAGCTTTGGTTACTGCCATGCCTATATGAGAGCTTTGACTCTCTAAGCTGCCCAAGGAGGAAGGCCAATACTGAATTTTCTGGTAAAGGGGTCTTTCATTCATTTCCCTGAGTTAAAGTAGAATTTCAAAGGAACCTATATTCTGGAAATCATGCCTGAAGACCAATCACCAAAAAGAACTGAGACATTCCACACTTCTAATTGTGCAGTACTGGGCCCCTGAGACCACTGATCCTCTCTCCTTAGTAACTTCTCCTTTTCAGAACAATGTTGTGTGTAGTTTAGATCTATCTCCTGCTAAGCATCAAAAGCAGAAGCTAAATACTATGAAAATAATATTAACAAGGCAGTAACAAGTAAACTAGACAGAGAGCTTCAACTGAGACAATCCTTTGGCTATTCCCATCCCTTAAATCCACAGTATGACTAAAGCTGTGCAGAGCTCTGTTACTGTATCAGGTATCAGTCCTAAATATATCACTCCTAACCCAGAGGACCAGCCCATAACATCCAGAGCAGTAACAAGCTGTAAAGGCAAGCACGAAGGTAAAAAGTACAGCAGAAAAACAACACAGCAGGGTACAAATGCTCTAGCCAAGAGGAAAAAATACAGGATCTTAGAACTGCTTGGACCAATATGTGATGACTGTAAAAGAGTCATATAACTTCTTGGGACTTCAGTTTCCTTTTCCAAAGAATATTAATAATATTATTTACCTTAGAGGGGGAGAGATATAACCTGAACTGGTTTTTTTTGTTTATGTGCCTATTGATAAACAAGATTTTACTTAACTTTATACTTTTGGACTCTTCACTCCTGATTGTCAAAATCCTCTGAGTTAAATACCATTTTTCCTATTTTACAAAGATACTGAGGCCCCAGAGGGTTTTTAAAAGTCAACAATCAGGAACGAGTAAACAAAAAGAACCAACACAGGCCCTGACCAGGTAGCCCAGTTGGTTAGAGTGTTAACCTGCAGGTTCAGGGCATATACAAGAAGCAACCAGTGAATTGTAAGTGGAACAACAAATTGATGTTTCTTTCTCTCTCTCTAAAATCAATCAATAAATATTGCCCTGGCTGGTGTTTCCCAATGGTTAGAGGGTCAGCCTGGAACTGAAGGGTCGTGGGATCAATTCCAGTCAAGGGCACATACCTGGTTGCAGATTCCCCACCCTGCTTGGGACTGATGGGGGAGGCAACCAATTGATGTGGCTCTCTCAAAGTAATGTTTCTCTCTCTTTTTCCTCTCTCCCTCTTCCCCTCCCTCCCACTCTCTCTAAAATCAATGGAAAAAATATTCTCTGAGAATTAATCAAAAAAGGGGGGGCGGGGGTGGGGAAGGGCCCAGGATGGTGCCTCAAGTGGTTGAGCATTGACCTATGAATCAGGAGTTCACAGTTCGATTCCAGGTCAGGGCACATGCCCGGGTTGTGGGCAGCTGATCATGATTCTCTGTCATCATTAATGTTTCTGTCTCTCACTCTCTTTCCCTTTCTCTCTGAAATCAATTCAAAAAAAAATTTTTTTTAAAGGGACAGCAGAGGCTGGTCTGGGAGGTTCAGGGAGGTGGCCCAGCAGCACAAGAAGAAAAGGAGCCCCAGTAGGGGGGAGGAGGTTGTCATCCGACACACAAGCAGGGAGACTTTGGACGCACTGCCCAGACTCTGACAGTACACAACACCACTGCAGCCAAATTATCCTTCAACCATCAAGTAAAATAAAGATGTTTTCAAAAAAAAATAAATAAATAAAAGAAATATTTTTAAATTGCTATTTGCTTTCTCAGTTTCTGTTATTCTGAAAAGAGATAGCAGGTAAAGATACAGAAAACCCACCAGCTTGATAGTATCTGGAAACATGCCAAGCCTTGAAGGACATGGGACATTTTCCATACGTAGCACTCACTGCTCAGGACATATCCGAGAAACATATGGAAGGCACTGCTAAGTTTTATCAAATCAAGAACTGTCACTTTCCCATCTGAATGTTGACCACCTAAAAGATAATCTCACCTATCCACAGCTCTGTCTAACAAGTAAAACAGAGCCTGAAGTACCACATGTTGCACTGACTTGTGGGGATGATGCAATCTGGCAGTGAAGAGGGCAATGGAGGCTCCTGTTGGGTCCCGAACATCCTAGAGCAAATAAAACAAAAGACATTAGAAATCAAACAGAAAATCCCAATAACCTCTAAGGATTATTATATCCTGGACACAGCTTTCCAATATGAAGATAACAGATACTGGCAATACTTCTCTCACTTGCATCAATTGCTTCAGAAAGGGAAGGGAAGAAAGTTTATGTCATCCCATGAATGATTCTCAGAAACTATAACTAAACAAACTATATTTCAGTGATAGGGAAAAAACACATTATCTAAAATCTTCAATTGCAGAAATTAAAATATGGTATACACTGGCTGATTAGCTAATTTCCCAGGCAGAATGCCAAAAGAAACAAACAGCAGAGGAAAACTTATAAAATCCACCCATTGTATACTTACCTGCAAGGCTATGATTCTAATTGAAACTTGCATTCAATAACATAGGACGGGCCTCTGACACATTATATACCCATTCCAAAGGCCTTGACTGTTATGGGCCAATGAAAAAAATTTTCTAAATCTACAGTACAACTGATTCTCAATAATTTCAATTATTACTAGAATAATTTTATGCCAAATTGCACTGCTGCTTTACATCTGCTCCTGACTGTGGAAACTCTCTAGATTCGGCATAAGGTATGCAGCAACAAACCAAAGAGGACAACAGCTACAAAAAGAAATAATGAGACATTACAAGAGGGGTCCATGAAGACTCACTAAGATGGTGAATTTTCCACTAAGAATCTCAGAACGGAGAGGTTCTTCATGAGGTTTCAGATTCACAATGCCTTCCTTCCTTCGTGTTTCCTAAAAATAAAGCACACAAGATAAATTAATATAAAAATACTATGCACCCTAGCCAGTGTGGCTCAGTTGGGTTGTGTGTCATCCCATGCACCAAAAGGTTCCCGGTAGGGGTCGTGCAGGAGGCAGTCTATCAATGTTTCACTCTCACATCAATGTTTCTCTCTCCAGCTCCCTTCTACTCTCTCTCTAAAAAAAATTGAAAAAATGAAAATCAATAAAAAATATTTTAAAATAATAAATTTTTAATATATATATATATATATATATATATATATATATATATATATATTTTAAAGAGATTAAAAATGGCAGCAGAGTAAATGAATGCTGCATGGACACACTCCCAGGAATTACAACTAAAATACAAAAAAACTTCCAGAATAATCAATGGAAGACAAGGGTTGCTGTCTGCCAGGAATAGACAGCTAGAAATGCAGGCAACCTCTTAAAAGGCCAAAGCACAGCCCTAACCGGTTTGGCTCAGTGGATAGAGCATCAGCATGTGGATTGAAGGGTCCCAGATTCGATTCCGGTCAAGGGCATGTACCTTGGTTGCGGGCACATCCCCAGTAGGGGGTGTGCAGGAGGTAGCTGATCGATGTTTCTCTCTCATCGATGTTCCTAACTCTCTATCTCTCTCCCTTCCTCTCTGTAAAAAAATCAATAAAATATATATTTTTTTAAAAAAGGGGGCCAAATCATAAAATTTAGTATGTAGCCACTCACCTTGTGCTCTGGCAGAGGGAGGGCAGAGTGCACTGGAGCTGTGTGGGCAGAAGCCAGGATTGGGGGCTCTGGAGTTAGAGCTCAGAAGTCAGACACCCTGGTTTCCTGTGCTGAGTCATCTTTCTCACACAGACATTTGCTATACAGGAGGCTTTGCCTGGGGGGAAGAAAGCTGACCCACCATATTGGGAAACACCTTGCCCCAAGGTGCAAAGTTCTGAGGTTCAATAGGAGACAGAGTATGAGAGTTAGTCTCCAGGCAGAAGCAATTGCCCCAACCTGTTGAAAAACTCTTGCCACATCTGTAAATGATTACTTAAGGACTATTCAAGATAGAATCCTATCAGTCTGTAGGAATTGGAGGTCTCTGGAGGAGTTGAGTCTTTGCCTGATCTAATTAATCAGAAACAGCATTTGACACTATCCTGCACTAGAAGTTAGTGTAGCAGACCTACCTAATACATAGTAATAAACCCAAACAGGCAGCCGAAATGAGGATACAAAGAAACAACCCCCAAATGAAAGAACAAGAGAATTTTCCAGACAAAGATATAAATGAAATGGAGGAAAAAAAAAAATTATCTGATATAGAGTTCAGTATAATGATGTTAAACATGCTCAACAGCATGAGAAAACATGTAGTAACTATAAAGATGGAAATAAAGAGTGACATGGCAAAAATAAACGACATATTAGAAGGAATACACAGCAGATTAGGGGAAGCGGAGGATCAAATCAGTGAATTAGAAGACAGAGTTGAAAAAATCATTCAATCAGAGAACAAAAAACACCCCACAAAAAACAGGAGGACAGCTTAAGAGATCTGTGGGACAACATGAAATATAACAATATTTAAATAGTAGCTGTGCCAAGACAGAAAGGGAGAAAGAGATAAAGAACATGTTTGAAAAATAATGGCAAAAGGAAAAAGTCACAGAAATTCAGGAGTCAGAGATAGTCTCAAGGAAGAAGAACTGAAACAGTTCCATGGCCAGACACATCCTAATTAAAATGCAAAAAATTAAAGGCAAAGAGAGAATCTTCAAGGCAGCAAGAGAAAAGCAAACTGTTACCTATAAAGGAGCTCCCATAAGGCTGACACCTGATGTCTCATTAGACACTCTATAGGCTAGAAGGGAATGGCATAAAGTACTCAAGGTAATGGAAAGCAAGTACAGTGGGGCCTTGACTTACAAGTTTAATTCGTTCTGTGACGGAGCTTGTAACTCAAATTACTCGTATGTCAAATCAAAAAGTGAACAAGTGAGACACGTCATGCTGGGCATTCACTGTGATGTTCACTGCGCCAACTAGCAGTGGGGTATCTGAAGCTGGCTCGTAACCCGAATTTTAGCTCGCAACTCAAAGCAAAAAATCGGCCGAGAGACGGCTCGTATCTTGAAAAACTCGTTAGTCGGGACACATGTAAGTCAAGGCCCCACTGTATCTGAAACCAAGATTACTATATTCAACAAGACTATCAGTCAAAGTGGATAGTGAGATAAAGAGCTTCCCAAACAAATAAAGGTTAAAGGAGTACATCACAACCAAGCCAGCATTACAAAAAATACAAAAGAGACTGCTGTAATGAGGAAAAGAAATAGAGGGAGAAATCTAGGCATACAGAATTAAAATGGCAATAAATAAGAACCTATTAATAATAACCTTAAATTTAAATATATTAAATGCTCCAAACGAAATAGGGTAGCTGAATGGTTACAAAAACATGACCCAAATACAGACAGTCCTCAGGTTATGTTGGACTCGACGCAGGTCGTTTCGTGGTTACATCGCCATCTCCCATCTATTTATTAAGAAAAAGTTCTGTCATTTCGATGTATGTACATAGGTGCTTTATGTTTTTTATCATTTATTTACCACAAGTAAAGGTCAGGAATTGATATCTTTCTTTTAAATTTTTTTTTTTTACTGTTTCACTTCATTACTACTGTGTATGTGCTCCACGTGAGTGACGCAGGTGCTTATGTAGGTGGGTTCCAACTTGCGGCGAAAACCACATTAAGTTACGCTGTAGGAACCAATCTCCGACGTAACCCGAGGACCTAATGCAGTGGTTCTCAACCTTCTGGCCCTTTAAATACAGTTCCTCATGTTGTGACCCAACCATAAAATTATTTTCGTTGCTACTTCATAACTGTAATGTTGCTACTGTTATGAATCATAATGTAAATATCTGATTTCCAGATGGCCTTAGGCAACCCCTGTGAAAGGGTCGTTCGACCACCAAAGGGGTCCCGACCAACAGGTTGAGAACCGCTGACGAATGTATATGCTATCTACAAGAGACCCACCTTAGGACAAGACACACACAGGATGAGAGTGAAGGGATGGAAAAAATGTTTCCATGCAAATGGAAAAGAAATAAAAGCTGGAGTAGCAATACTCGTATCTGACAAAATAGACTTCGAAATGAAGGCCACCACAAGAGACAACAAAGGTCACTACATAATACTAAAAGGATCAATACAACAAGAGGATATAATCCTGGTAAACAAATATGCTCCCAAATATAGGAGCACCTAAATATGTATATATATATAAACTTCTAGAGGACTTTAAGGGAGAGATCAACAACAATACAGTCATAGTAGGGGATTTTAACGCCCTGTTGACTTCACTGGATATATCTTCCACACAAAAAATTAACAAGGAAATAGTGACTCTAAAGAACACACTGGATCAGATGGAGTTAACTGACATTTATAGAACATTTCACCCCAAAGCTGCAGTATATACATTCTTCTCAACTGCACATGGATCACTCACAAAGATAGACCATATGTTAGGACACATAACAAGTCTTTACAAGTTTAAGAAGATTCAAATCATATCAAGCATCTTATCCGATCACAGTGGAATGAAATTAGAAATCAACTACAGTCAAAACACCCCAAAACATTCAAACACATGGAGGCTAAATAGCATATCATTAAACGAGATCAATAAGAAAATCAAAACATTCCTGGAAACAAATGAAAATGAACACACAACAACCCCAAATCTCTGGGACACAGAAAAAGCAGTCCTGAGAGGGAAGTTCATAGCACTATAGGCCTACTTCAAAAAACAAGATAAACATAAACTATTTAACCCTAAAACTAAAAGAACTAGAAAGAGAACAAGAAAAGCCTAGAGTAAGCAGAAGGAAGGAAATAATTAAGATTAGAGCAGAAATAGATAACAAAAATTAAAAATCAACACAAAAAAATCAATGAAACCAAGAACTGGTTCTTTGAAAGGATAAACAAAATTGATGAACTGAGCCAGACTCATCAAGAAACAAAGAGAGAGGACCTAAATAAATGAAATCTGAAAGAGAGTGAAGTAACCACTGAGACCACAGAAATACAAAGGATTTTAAGCAAATACTATGAACAATTATATGCCAACAAGCTGGACAATGTGGATGAAATGGACAAATTCCTGGAAAACTACAATCTCCCAAAACTTGGTTAGGAATAATCAGAAAACCTGAATAGACCAATAACAACTGATGAAATAGAAGCAGTAATCAAAAAAACAAAAACCCAAATCTGGATGGCTTCACAGGGGAGTTTTACCAAACATTCAAAGGAGAACTAACACCTATATTACTCAAACTATTCCAAAAAGTCCAAAAGGAAGGAACACTTCCAAGTTCTTTTTATGAGGACAGCATTACCCTAATTCCAAAACCAGATAAAGACACTATAAAGAAAGAGAATTACAGGCCAATATTCCTGATGAACATAGATGCTAAAATCCTCATTAAAATATTAGCAAATCAAATCCAGCAATATATTAAAAAGATCATACACCACGACCAAGTGGGATTTATTCCAGGGATGCAAGGCTGGTACAATATTCACAAATCAATAAACATGATACATCACATAAACAAATTGAAAGACAAAAATCACATTATCATATCAACAAACAAAGAAAAAGCATTAGACAAAATCCAACACCCATTTTTGATAAAAACTCTCAGCAAAATGGGAATACCAGGAGTATCTCAACATGATAAAGGCCATATATGACAAACCTACAGCCAACATCATACTCAAAGGGCAAAAACTAAAACCATTTCCCCTAAGAACAGAAACAAGACAGGGATGTTCGCTTTCACCACTCTTATTCTGCATAGTACTGGAAGTCCTAGCCACAGGGATCAGATAAGAAGAAGAAATAAAAGGCATCCAAATTGGAAAGGAGGAAGTAAAAATAAATATTAGCCGATGATATGATATTGTATGTAGAAAACCCTAAAGACT